GCAGGCAGAGTAATGATGCCCCCAAAATACCGACTTCCTAATCCTGGGAAACTCTAAATATATTAATATTCACAGCAAAAGAGAACTATGGTTGTAGATCGAATTAAGACTGCTAATCAGTTGACCTTAAAATAAGGAAACTCCTATTCTGGATCATCAGGGTGGGTTCAAGATAATCATAGGGCCCTTTAAATGTAGAAGAAGGAGAAAAGTTAGGAAAGGATATGTCACAAATGATAGAAGCAGAGTCAGTGATGTGAGAGTTTAACCTGCCCTTGCTGGCTCTGAAGATGGAAGAAAGGGGCTATGAGCCAACAAATAAGGGCAGCTTTTTCTAGAAGCTGGAAAAGCCAAGAAAACAGACTGTCCCCTACAGTATTCCAGTAGCTCTGCCAACACCTTGGTTTTAGCCCAGGGAAACCCATGTCAAACTTTTAACTTACAGAATCATAAGACAATAAATCTGTGTTATGCATGTCACCAAATTTGTGGTAATTTACTTGTGATAGCAAAATAGAAAACTAAAACAAATGCCTTTAAAAAAAAAAAAAAAAAGGGGGATCCCTGGGTGGTGCAGCGGTTTGGCACCTGCCTTTGGCCCAGGGCGCGATCCTGGAGACCCGGGATCAAATCCCACATCGGGCTCCCGGTGCATGGAGCCTGCTTCTCCCTCTGCCTGTGTCTCTGCCTCTCTCTCTCTCTCTGTGACTATCATAAATAAATAAAAATTAAAAAAAAAAGACTTTAATCTTTAAAAAAAATAATAATAAATAAATAAAAAAAAAAACTCCTTTAGAGTCCTTGAGCTAAAATGGAAATACCCTGGGACACTGAAAAATCAGATTTAAGAACTTCTAAATGGAAGGGGAAAACAGTTCATTCTACAAAACTTACAATTTAGATAGAAAATTTAGATAGAAAAATGCCACCACAGGAGGTTCCATGTGCAGAGTAGCTGAGTAGATATCATCAGGCCAAAAAATATAAACTCCGCATAAACTATTTTTTGAGTAACAACTATAAACTCTGCATAAACTATGTTTTTAAAAAAATAAAAAACCCAAAACACTCTCCAATGAAGGCACTGGAGAACCACCAAATGGCAGACACAGAAGGGGAGGCTATACTTAGATGAAGCCAATCAAGGTTTTTTTGCTTTACACTTAACATCTTTTAGCCTGATGGCAGATCCCTGTCAATACTGTGCTGGGCAGCTAAAACCCCAAGAGAAAACATGTAGCTTTAATGGCTTGAAAAACCATAGGACAGTTTGGGACAACCACAGGCATGAAAAAGTGGGAAATGGAAGAAAAGGAAGAGCCAGAGAGAAGCCACAAATTCTGCGGCTGACCCCAAACCATGCATGCACCTGGGGCCAACTCCAAGCAGCCCAGCTAAAAGAACTGAAGCAATATTTGAGCTGCTGCCCACAAGGGAGTTGGATTATATTTCAAGTTCAACTGAGTTAACAGCCTGCCACAACACTAAAAACACTCACAGAGGAATTAACAAAATCTAGAGTTTCTATGACCTATAGTTCACAATGTCTAGGATACAATCCAAAATTACTCAACATAAAACAAAACAGCCCATTTTCAAGAAAAAAGACAATTAATGGAGATTACCACACAACAATTTCAAAACTGCTAAACTCAAGTTTATGGACATTAAAAAAAAAATCTTCAATGAACGAAAAGATCAAATAGAAACTACAAAAAAGAACCCAAATTTTAAGGCTGGAAATACAATGCTGAAAATGCCACAATTCCCTCACTCCTACTGAATTAAGCAGTGGCTTGGGAATGAGGCAGTGAGTGATGAGCTGCAAAGTGATATCAACATTATAGAAAGCCATGGAAAATTATTCAAGAGAATAAACCTATTCTAAATGTCTACTGCTCCACAATTCATTTTAGGCAATTCTTGATAATCACTAAATAAGGTATTACTGTACTTTACAGGAAACAAAAATGAGGCTCCAGGAGATTAAGAAATATGGTTTAAAAGATCACACAACTATTATCTTGTAGGCACTTCTAGACAGTACTAAGTCATGGGTATTTTTAAAGCAACGATAAACTGATGTCTGTGGTAAAGAAATTGGCAGTTAGCTAATACAGCAGAAATTATAACAGAATAAGCAATTTCTCTGAAAATACAAATGGTTTCCTTAATGGTTTTTAAGAAAAGAACTTTATTAGTGGGACCTCTTATACTTTCCCTGACTTCTGCTAGGTCATTCTGATTATTCTATTTGGAAAAGGTTAGAAAGGCCTGGTTATATAAGTTATAGAACGTCCTCACAGTAGAATGCTACACAGCATTAAAAATGACCATACAGAAATATTTACTGAGGGGATCCCTGGGTGGCTCAGCGGTTTCGCGCCTGCCTTTGGCCTAGGGCGCGATCCTGGAGTCCCAGGATCGAGTCCCACATCGGGCTCCTGGCATGGAGCCTGCTTCTCCCTCTGCCTGTGTCTCTGCCTCTCTCTCTCTCTCTATCATAAATAAATAAAAATAAAATCTTAAAAAAAAAGAAATATTTATTGATAAGGAATGTGGATCAAAAATGTTTTATGAGGGAACCCTGGGTGGCACAGCGGTTTGGCGCCTGCCTTTGGCCCAGGGCGCGATCCTGGAGATCCGGGATCGAATCCCACGTCGGCCTCCCGGTGCATGGAGCCTGCTTCTCCCTCTGCCTATGTCTCTGCCTCTCTCTCTCTCTCTGTGAGACTATCATAAATATATATGTCTTATGAGAAAAAAACAGGCTACAAAACAGGGCGAACAATTACCATCCAATTTTTACCAAAAATAAAAAATAAAAAAAATAAAAGAATAAAAAAAAATTCTGTAAGGCCTATTAATTGCAGACACAAAAATGTTAACATTTTGGTAATTTCCAGGCCAATGAGACTATGGTAATTTTTATTTTTTGAGCTTATTCTGTTTGCTGTTCCCAGTGTTATGTTTTTCCTACAATGTATTACTTGTGTAATAAAAATTGAACTTCTACATCAAACCACCTTGCTGTATACCTTAGAAAGATTTGTTAGATTGCTTAATAAAATTGGAAGAAAATGAAAAACAACAAAAACTTATTCATCAACTCAACAAATATTTATTGGGTATACATTACATACCACGTGATATTTGAACAAAGAAAAAACAGCTGCAGAAACATAAAATTTCATTGAAATTTTCTTCCACTACCTGAAAATATTCTTTTTCATTGTTTAAACTGTTTTTCAATTTATCTCTAATAACCCCTTGCCTCAAAAACTGAAGAAGTTAAAATCTATCTGTACTCTTATTTCTATCATTTCAACCAGTAGACAAGGTCTGATCCTCATCACCCCTCACCTGGGATTCTGCAAGAGCCTTATTTTGTCTCCCTGCCTCTGGTCAAATGTATTCCCTCACTCCCATGCAGCTATCTATCCAATACAGAGAAATCTGACCATGCCCCTCTACTCCTTTAAAATCCTCACTGGCTCAGCATTGCCTCTAAGATAAAGCCGAAATCTTTGGCATGGACAGCAAGGAGCTCCAACATCTGGGCCCCGCCCACCTCTCTCACTTCATCTCTCGATTCACCTTGCTTCTGACAATGGAGTCCAGCAACACTGAGGTTTCTTACAGACATTAAGCTTTTTCTTGCTAACTACCAATAAAAACAGCCTTTTCTTTTATGTTGTCCTTTCCACCCATTATACCCTCTCCCTCATTTATGTGATCTTATCACCAATTTGTTAGTAGTGCTTCCAGGAAAAATCTTCTACCACCTTCAAACCAAACTGACCTTATCCATATCTCTTAACACTGTACCATACTCGTCCTAAAGTTTCTGCTACGCGAGACTATCAACTACACAAGAACAGGGATTGTCTAAATCCGTTTATCTGTAATACGGAAAAATAACAGTACCAACCTCATAAATGAGATTTAGAATGTAAACATTTAAGAGGGAACCCGGGACATGGAAAGTAGTCACCCAATGTTACCTATCATTATTATCCATATTTTTACCTGCAGCCCGGCAGTGCAGTAGGACCTCAAATGTTTACCCAAAGACTAAACTCTGCAAATTGGGAGTATTCTTCCCATTTTATGACTAAGAAAACTAAGTGCTAGAAAAGGCAGTGAAGCCACCATCCAAACTCAGGCCTAACTCTGTGTACTACCTATCGCCCGGTCTTCTGCTAAGAGTTGACTCAACCTTTCTATTTTACTGCGAGGGGAAACAAAGGGGGAGGGGTGTCTCTTTTCCAGTAAACGCTGCTATAATCGTCATTCCTGGGATCACCATTTCTAAGTTGAATGAGTGTTTCGAACTGAGGTTCACTTTCCTTGCCTAAGATAAGGGCATGAACTCGGGTATCAGAAGCCCATTCAAGCTCTAAAATCCTTCTGGGTGCAGTACCTGCAGTGTTCTTTCACAGTGTGATACGATCATTCACCTAACCTTTCCGATCTGCAACACACAGGCAGTCAATCGAACACCTGCTATCCGCCTAAGGAAAGGCTCTTTCAGCTTTGGACACGCAAGCCAGAGCCTACAATCTCAGAGTCTTCTCCAGTGCGCCGCACTGCGACCTGGCAGCAACCGGGTCACCGGGCTTGACACGCAAGGTCCTCCTTTGTGGGCGGGGGTCTTAGCAACCTTTGAGGCCCAGCGAGGCCGGGCCTGGGCTCCGCGCAAGGACGGGCGGGCGCGCACACAGCACCAGACGGCCCTTGCTTCTTCCTCTCCTTGACCACATTAGGCGTAAGCTTCCCAGGGCTGGAGGGAGACCACGCACCCGCCGCAGCTCGGCCTGCGACCCTCCCTCGGAGCGCCTTGCTGGCGCCTCCCTGCGCGAGGGCGAAGGCCGCAGTGTCCTTGCCGCCGCCTGCGGGCCGAGCAGAGCCCCGCGCTCTCGCGTGCCCACCACCAAAGGAGACACCGAGACACAGAGACGGGCGGCGGCAGCGCCCGGACTCATTCCGAACCTCCTTACCCACTGGGCGGTGAGGCCAGCCGCCTTGGCCCGGAGCGCCGCGGAGAAGAACATGGCGGACCGAACCGTCGGCCTGTCCCGGCGGCACCCGGCGAGAATCCCGAGCGAGCCTGGGACGCACGGCGTGCGCGCCCCCGAGCCCAGGCCCCGCGCGGCCAGGGCGGCGCGCCGCTCCGTGGAACGAGGTGGCGGGGGCGCGCGCGGAGGCACGCGGGGGCTGCCGGGGCCCAGGGGGCGGAGACTTCCCCCGAGGGGGCGGGGCGAAGGCCAGCCAGGTCCATAAAAGGCCGGCGCCCGCGGGCTGGGGCTGGGGGGCTCCCCCTCGGAAGGCTGCGGCCTCCAGCTGCTCCTTGGGCTTCTGGGGGCTGAACTGCCGAGCTGGAGGCATGGGGTGAGCTTCCCTCCCGGAGAGCCTTTTGGGGATTTGACCACCAAATCGTGGTTTTATCGTGGTCACTCAAAAAAAAAGTCCATTTTAACCGTCTTGTGAATCATATTTTACAAGTTATAAAGTCGAAGATAAGGCTGCCACGGAGTGAGCGAGACACAAAACGCCTCGTTTCCCGTTCGTTTGCCTTAGAGACGCGTGCGGACGTACTAGGGGTGAAGTAATAGATGCGGCATTTGCTTCCGAGCCTTGGGGAGACAAACGAAGCAAGACTGGCCGTGAGTAATGACGGTGGAAGATGCGGTAGTTCTCGTGACTCTCCTCGGTGCTTTTGTACATGTTAGAAGTTTTCCATAATAAAACTTAAAAAAAAAAAAAGCCACTTCCTTCTTGATGTTTGTTTGGTCATCTCTGGAAATTCCAACAAGTATTTACTCAGTAGCAGCGGTAATGTGGACAGCGCTGCTTCCTGCTGTGTAGAGTTTACCAGGCACTTTGCTGCCTCTTGATTTTGCCTTCCCTGCCTTCTTTTCTGGTGTGTCATGTCCTGTACCACCCCCTTCCTTTTGCCCATTTGCTTTGCTAAACTGGTGAATGATTTCTGGAACTTTCACAGCAGTATAGGGATTTTAAAATTCTATTCTTCATTAATTTAAAAACGCTACAGTATTACATTGCAACCATTTCCAAGTCACATCTTACAAATTATGAAGTTCAAGTCACAAGAAGGCTGCCAGCCAATTAGCCAGAAATAAACACCAAAGGCTTCCTTCCCATTTCTTTGCTTATCTTTTATGTCAGTCTGCTTCTCCTAACTTGGTTTCAGTATTTGCATTTAAAAGGGAAAAATATTCTGGGCCTCCATGTTGATTTAAATTTTTGTATTATAGGGCTGCCTCGCTGGTTCAGACGGGGGAGCATGTGACTCTTGATCTCAGGCTCATGAGTTCGAGCCCCACATTGGGTAGAGAGATTACTAAAAAAAAAAAGAAACTTTAAAAAAATCAGAAATCTGTTTTAAAGAATAATTATTGTATTGTAAATGTGCCTAAATATATATACACCTAGCACTGTTATACACATAACACTGTGTCTTATACAACTAAAACCAGAAAATATCACAAATTAAATATATAAGAAACTTACAAATGGATGATACCGATACGGCATGGATTCTTTGAACCTGGTAAACATGCATTCACCTGATTCTATTAGGGACTTCTCTGACCTCTTGGTATAGGTTAGTTCTCATGATACCTTCCTTATATATACCTGCCTCCACTTTGATTACCACATTTTCCAACAGATTATTATTCTCCATGAGTGAAGAAATCTGCCCTTCCCAACTTGTTTGATTCTTGTACTGTACCTGACGTGCTGTACCTGTTAACCGAATGAAAAACTTGCACATGGTACAAATATTTGAACTCTCTGAAAGAGCTGTATGTCTCTGATTCGAGTATGCTTATCAGTGAGAGTGTTTTTCCATACAACTAACAGAAAACCTAATGGAAGGAAATTAAACAGTATTTAGTTCATTATGTCACATGACAAGAATTCCAACGGTAGAGCAGTTCCAAGATTGGATAATTCAGTTACTCAAGGATGTCCTTAAAAACTTGAGAGCCTTGCATCTTTCTACTCCACCATACTCAGCTCTAACTCCTGGTCACAAGATGGTTGCAGCAATTCCAAGTATCATATACAGATTACAGCATTCCAGGCAGCCCAGGTGGCTCAGGGTTTAGTGCCGCCTTCATTCGGCCCAGGGTGTGATCCTGGAGACCCAGGATCGAGTCCCACATCGGGCTCCCTGCATGGAGCCTGCTCCTCCCTCTGCCTGTGTCTCTGCCTCTCTCTCTCTCTCTCTCTCTCTCTCTCTCTCATGAATAAATAAATAATCTTAAAAAAAATATTACAGCATTCCTGGGAAGAAAAAGAACTCTTACCTTTCAAAGGGTCTCAAATGTTCCTCCAGCAGATTTCTTTATCTCAGGGGCATATCATGGCACTTAAGAGAACAGGCTCTAGAATGAGGCTGCTGGTTCAGATCCTATATCTACTGCTTTGTAGCTGTGTGGCTTTAGGCAAGTTAGTCTCTCCAGGCTTTTGTTTAGTAATAGTACCCTCCTCATTGCTTTATTATGGGGATAAAATTAGTTAATGCCTGTGAAGTTCTTTTAAAGTACTGAGAACAGGGGTGCCTGGGTTGCTCAGTCAGGTTAAGAGTCTGCCTTCCACTCAGGTCATGATCCAAAGTCCTAAGATCCAGCCCCGAGTCTGTTTTTCCCTCTCTCCCTGCCCCTGCTCGTGCTTTCTCTGTCCCTCTCACAAATAAATAAAGTATTATTAAAAAGAAAAAAGAGGGGATCCCTGGGTGGCTCAGCGGTTTAGCACCTGCCTTCTGCCCAGGGTGCGATCCTGGAGCCCCGGGATCGAGTCCCACATTGGGCTCCCTGCATGGAGCCTGCTTCTCCCTCTGCCTGTGTCTCTGCCTCTCTCTCTCTCTCTTTCATGAATAAATAAATAAAATCTTAAAAAAATAAAGATACTGAGCATAGAGTAAGTGCTCGGCAGTAAATATTAGCTTGGGAGTCTTAACGTAGTAGAATAGCATCTTATTAGTTCTATAGAGAAAGTATATATCTCATTGGTGCTTACAGAGAAGATGTATATCTCATTGGTGTCCACTGTCCAAGCAAAGACTTAGTGGTGTCCCTAATTTCTGTTACCTAGGAGCAAAAACAAAGAGTGCAAAGAGTAGTGTTTAAAAAATTAAGGATCGGGGTAAAGGAGAGTCTAGTCTGTTAACACTTCCTTGAAGATGACAAAGTAAATGCTTTCAACAGTTATTCAATGCCAGTAAGTGTAACACCACTTTGTTCACCAGTCCACTAGTCTTGCTTTTAGGGAAGAGGAACTGAGTCAAAACTCAAAGGAAGGGCAAAAAAGAGATAAGGTTATTGCTGGAGAGTAAGAGTTTTAGAGAGAGAAGGGAATAAAGATCCTTCAGGCAGGAAATTTGGGAATGCAAAGAAGAATGATATGGTCACAGTGATATACTGAGGTGTTAGACCTATTTCATGCTATTTCACTCTGAGGTGAGGGAGGATGTAAGGATAATGAATAACTTCTTCATGGTCTTTCCAAATTCTTCTCAAGTTAATCTTGGATATGTGGGACCAAAAGGGAAAATGAAAATCAAAACAGCCAATAATTTAACTACACAAACCTCAAGAACAGACTGTCCAAGAAAATAATAAGCAAAATGTCACCTGAGCCATTATCAGATTCAGGTCGCTTGTTACTTCCTTAATGTGGGACTGAATTTTAGTCACCTCCAAGACTCAAGTGCAGTTTCCTCTAAGAATTTGATCAATGCAGGGTGCATAGATGTCTCAGTTGGTTAAGCATGGGACTCTTGGTTTTGGCTGGGATCGTGGGGTCCTGGGATGCAGCCCGTTGCTTAGCTCCATGCTCAGTGGGAATTCTGCTTGAGATTCTTTCTCTTCCTCTCCCTCTGCCACTCCCCCTGCTCACCTGCATGCATGCATGTGCACTCTCTCTCTCTCTAAAATAAATAAATAAATAAATCTTAAAAAAAAAAAAAGAATTTGATCAGTATTTCCCTATCAGGTAATCAGTGTAATGAAACAATGAACATAATTTTTGCTCAATAGATAGGTACAATTTTAAGATTGCTAACTGCTGTATCGGTATTTTATGGAGCAATAATTTCTCATCTAGTGATAATGGTAATGCAGATAGGATCAACCTCTCCAGAGAGTAACTCAGCAGTATATATATTGAGTTTCTTTACATGCAAACCCTTTTATCCAGCAGTATTACTTCTGTGAATTTATCCTAAGGAAATAACTGGAAAAAATCTACAAAGTTTTACAAACAGGTATGTTCACATCATAGTGTTATTCATAATACTGAAATCCTGGAAGCCATGTAACTGATTGTCATCAACAGAGAATTAATTAAACAAATCACAATACAACCATATAATGGGATGTTGCCCCGCAGATTTAAAAGCAATAACAGGGATCCCTGGGTGGCGCAGCGGTTTGGCGCCTGCCTTTGGCCCCAGGGCGCGATCCTGGAGACCCAGGATCGAATCCCACATCGGGCTCCCGGTGCATGGAGCCTGCTTCTCCCTCTGCCTGTGTCTCTGCCTCTCTCTCTCTCTCTCTGTGACTATCATAAATAAAATATATATATATATATAAAAGCAATAACAAAGATCAATATTTATTTTAAAGGAAAGATGCCCATTATATGTTAAGTTTAATTTTTAAAATTTTACAAAACATCATGTGTAATATGACCACACTTTTTGTATGTGCATAGAAAAAAATATAGAAAGGTACACATCAAAATCTTAATAAACAGTTCTCTCTGAGTGATGGGACATAAGATAATTTTCATTTTTTTATGCTTTCTGTATTGTCTGAACTTATTTCAATTAACATGTGTTACTTTTATTAAAAGAAAATAAAGCTGTGTTCATATTAAGAAACAGTGTCATAAAAATATATATAAGTGAAAATGTTGATAACTGTCTTTTATACTCACTTCTTTTTAGTGGATGAAAACCTCTTCAGAGTATACTTCCTTTTTCTGCTATTAATTCAAGTTTTAATTTAGGGCATCAGTGAGTGGGCTGGGAAGAGGGAAATGAGCCAGTTCTTAGGATCTTTGGGCAGTTTTAATTTTAGGCAGAAGAAACAGCTCTGGACTCTCTCCCACAAGGCTGCTCCTTAAAATTCCTGTGCAAATCTGAATT